AAAACCAATAATACTTATTATTATTATTATTATTATTATTATTATTATTATTATTATTATTATTATTATTATTATTATTTATTATTAGTATTACCACTACACAGCTGTTTGGAGGCAAATTTTAGTCCATTAGACGAATGGTCTCAATGCATGGAATCTACTTTTGTGCACTCTTGGATTGTTATGGAATACATGTATACCAATGAGACTGCTGCAAATCTGCCTGTGTGGACTGATAGGGACTTGATCCGGATAATTCTACATCAGAAAAAAAAATTAAGCCAGGGAAAGCTCATTGTTTATGTTTCTTTTTGTCTTCAGGGTCTGTTGTGTTGGTTAGTTCCTGGTAGTTTGAAAGGCTCTGAACTTGGTTTAGCCAGATCACTGGCGAAGTCACACATGGGGGGTGTGGATCAGTGATTAAAAACTTGTTCAATGTACGCCATATGGTGGTGATTTAGCATGCATTTTTTATGAACACGCAGGCTGAGTATTGATGTGCTGATGACTGTTGTAGGGATTTACAAAGATCTAAATTCACAGAGGCACGTGCAAACATGGAGGCACACACGCTCACACTTAGATACACATAGAGTTCACCCATTTTTAGTGTATTGTACCTTACATAGGCTTTATTACATAAAGTCATTTTCAGTTTTTACACTATCATCAAAACTGCTATAGCCTGTAATCTCTGTTAAGAATAAGTATTATTACCATATTTATTAATAAGTTGAAAAGCATAATTGTGTTTTCACATTTGCATGAAGCTGTTCTCATCTTAATTTCTTCATTTATCATACTGCTTAACTTGTGTTTGCATTTTTTCTTCTTGTTTGTTTTCTTCTTCTTTTTTGTCCCTGTATCCTTTCTATCCTTTCATTAAATATATTCTTAAACCTAAATTAGATCATTAAACCAGAAAGGAAGGGTCAGAATTATACCTGTAGATTCTGGCATGGGGGTCGAAGATTGGGAAAACAAATACAAAGGGCAGGGCAAGCCTCAGCTCAGTGACTTCTTAGATGATGAAGAAGACAATGTTATCCTTCGAATGGGAAGACCCTACCCTGAGCCATCACACACCTCTATCCGTCAAAGTACTCAGCGTAGTGGTTTTCTGCCTGCTACCTATCCTGAGGGCTATGACACTATTGATCGGCGGCGAAAGAAAAAGATAAGGGACCCAGGAGGGTTGCTCAGTACAGAGACAGACAAAATGAGAGAAGAGGCTTTTCCCTCTGACCTTGCACTGCTCCGTGAGAAGAGAGGGGAGCTGTTT